TACTCTCACAGTGCAGGAGTATAAAGACAAAATGCTGAGAGATAATCTGCGATGGACTAGCTTCCCATCCTTGTATATTTTTATTATTATTGTTAAGGGCCTCTAGTGATATCAGTTGTTTACCTTGTAAATACTGAAAGAGAAACCCTGGTTAAATAAAGGTATCTATCTATCTATCTATCTATCTATCTATCTATCTATCTATCTATCTATCTATCTATCTATCTATCTATCTATCTATCTATCTATCTATCTATCTATCTATCTATCTATCATCCAGGGGGAGTAGCAATACTCCTAGTCGGCTTCATGCTATGGAAACCAGGATTAACTCTTAACTCGGCTGTGTAGGCCAATTTGGCCCGAGTGGGTTTACCTTTAGTTACATTTCAGTGATAAATTTTCAACTAAAAAACGCAAAAATAGCGTTATACTTATAGCTTTATTTTTGTCTCTTTGAACTTAGCAAGACACTGTGTTTTTAACAACCGTCACATCAAGCATGGTTATAAGCTTAGTGATCCACTTTGTACCGGAGTTGTGAGCTGTTACAATGGCCACTTAAACATGGAGTACTGTCCAAAAATACCAGACAAGCCAACGGACTGCGCGCGACCCAAACTGAAGACTATCAACGTGCCTGGAAAATGCTGTAAAAAACTTTGGGTTTGTTCAGGTACCTGAGAAAACGTCTACGTTATTCTTCTTTGTAAACGTACAGAACATACATAAAGCCACACGCACACATTGTGGACCTATTTTATACAGCCACTGAGAGAGGTGATCTAAAAGAAGGGTTCCCGTGCCCCATGATAATTTCGCGCTATGCTGTGAAAGTTATTTTGTTTATTCCTTTTGATCGAGGCTCCGACATCGCGGTACTCGAACTGACCAATCAGATAGCGCTCTTAAAATAGCTCAGCTGTGGATTGAAACCCGATTTCAAAAAAATTATCATTGGAAGAGACCCATGTATGGGGGAATGTTTCTCTTAGATCATCCTCTCTTGGTATGTATCAAGTTTAAGACATTAGGCCATGTAAAGATACCCCGTTCAAGACAAAAAACACTGAAAACCATACCCTATCGGGCCGCACGCGCCAAGCATGAGTCTTGCAAGCTTAGAAGTCAAAGTAGCCCCGTGCTTATCAATTGCGCGTGTGAATGTTCGCTCTTTGAGCGTCTCAACTGAATTTTATCTTTTCCCTCTAATCAAAGGATGATCAAGATGATCAAAATTTTTTTTTTTAGCTCTAAGGAGCAAACTCTAACTGTGAAATCACTATAAGTAAATACCGAGTTTTATCTCCCTTAGACAAGAGCTGTGCATACGACGGTCTCAAGTTATCGCACGGAGAAAAACTCACTGACGCGTCTTGCGCAGTCGTCATGGAATGCAAAAATGGCTTCCTCCACAATAAACAATGTCCAGGCCCCCCTCCAGTCCCACATACCTGTATCAATCCCTCGCTAAAGGTCAAGCGTGTCCCGGGTGAATGTTGTGACATGAACTGGGCATGTGAGATGAGCTAGGATCCTACATTCGTCACTATAAGGTTAGTTTCCTGTCCAGTTCAAAAGTCAGTGAATCAATACTCTCACAGTACCTCGCTCCACCCAGGATTATCAATAGATACCGGCGAACTGTTAGGCCGAAAACCTGTACTGTTCAACCTTTGTAATACATGTCCCATTTTGTAACAAAACGTGGGGCGAAACTTGACCCGAATGGACACAAATGGACACGGATGGACTCGAATGGGACCTGGGGTCTCTGGGACGAAAGCACCCAGGGACTCTGCGTCTCAGGGTTTCTGGGTCTCTTGGACCAGGACTCAGGGAACCTGGGTCTCTGGGTCTTTGGGCCTCCATTCTGGGTCTCTGGGTCTCCATGGTTTGTTAGGTGTCTGGGTCTCTGGACCCAAGGACTTAGGGATCCTTGGGTCTCTACTTACTTATTTACGTACCTAGAGATACGTCCGTTGAGAGATAGTTCACTGCACACATCATTAAAAGCTAATAAATTAACAATATTTAATTTTCATTGTAGGGCCTTATCAGATCAATGATCCTTGAGGCATCAACGCTCTAAAGAAACTCACGCCATGGGAATGGAGAATTGCTTCTTAATTCATGTCGGCTTTATTCAACAGGAATAAAAGCACAGTAAGGCTTTGGAAATAAATTTCATTAGAGCGATTTTTGTAGTGTCGTAAAACTAAATCAATTAAAAGAAATCACAAAGCCAGCATACGATAACTTGGCTCAAAACTCTTTGAAATGTAGTCCGAACCAATCAAATCAGAGAAAAAATGCTGTTTTTTTCTCTCAGCCAATCAGAAGCAATGTGAAACCCGACTTGGCTTTCGCGCGTTTCCCGCGCTTGACGCGGGTTGCATATGTTTTTGGTTCGAGTAGTGATTGGCTCGCAGCGTTATCTACGTTGTTTTGTGATTGGCCAGACGTGACTTCATTACTTGGTTTGGTTTTCGTCTTAGAGTGGTTTTCAATTGAGTGTCGAAAGTGAATATGCGTTTGCTATGGTTTTGCTTTACTACGCTCTCTTATTGGTCCGAAAAATCCGCGCCACTTTCTTAACCAATCAGATGCCAAACTAAAACCAATCGTGACTTGGTAGAACGTGTTTTCCCGAGCTTGGCGCCGGTTACCCCGCGTATTTGCTTTGACTTCTGATTGGTTCTTTGTTTTCGTCGGTTGTGATTGGTCAGAATGATTTTGTTTTGGTTTTACTACCTACATTCAATTGAAAACCGCTCTATTAGAAAATTGCTCTCTATATTTTAGTAATCATTTTCGTTTCAGAACAGTTAGGACAGTTAATAGAAAACGTACCTGCTCATTTTGCCGTCATGAATTTCAGTTTTACAAACGCATGCGGTACGCCAGCATCAGAATGCTCTAATTATACCTGTTAAAAAAATCGAGCAATTTTGGTACTCGCCTGATATGTCGCAGAACAGTACAAAAATTGCTTCATTGTAATCGTACTCAGATTCAGCACTATTAATTTCTTTACGCGAACAAGACTTTCCTCACAAGTCAAAATTATCTGGCGTTTCACACCGATTTTAATGCGGTTTTTATATTTATTTTTACAAATACATTGAAATGTGTCTTATCAAATTAATGTGTCTTATCAAATTAATTATAACTTCCTCGATAGACTCAATAATTGCCTCGATTAAGTTCCCCTTCTTGAATAAACGCCCCCATAGAATCATGAAATTTAAAATATAAACCCACCCCTCTCCTTAAAAAGCTGTCAGAATGAATGTACGAAGGAAGAAAGGGTGGAATTACTTCAGGTTTCTTGAAATTTGAAATAAGCGCCCCGGCGCTTAAACGAGGAAATACGGTATAAGAATAAGAATAAAGCTCTGTTTGCTTATAAAGCTCTTTATTATATAGACACGAGTGTTTTACTGGAAAATAGACCACTCGTAAAACTCATACGAAACTACATCCGGGACCCGAGTGGCGTATTTTCCATATCCTCACTAGTGAGGATATCGATGACGTCATTTCCCGCTTTTGCATGGCTTTTTGTGCAAAGCTGCCAAACTCCGGTTTAAAAATGGCGAGCGATAGATTCGTGAAATTCACTGAAGCCGACATGAAATCGTTCACTGAGGAGTAGAAAAATGTTAACACGAAGAAGAAAACTTCATATGACTTAAAATTATTCAAGGAGTTCCTTGCAAGTCAAGACGAAAGGAGAGAAATTCGGAAAGTCCAGCCACCGAGCTGCAAGAGTTCGCGATAAAGTTTGTGCTTTTGTCATTTGTCTATATAATAAAAAGAACATTACACGGTGGCTTGAAGATATGAATTTTATTTTCTCGTGGTAAAAACAATATTTTACTCACTCGCTGCGCTCGTTCGTAAAATATTGTTTTTACCACTCGAAAATAAAATTCATATCTTCGCGCCGCCGTGTAATATCCTCTATATCTATACAAAGTAGTAAAAAAATAAAAAAAAAAATAAAAAAAAATAGATGAATAAATAAATAAATATTTTGAAATGATTACATTACATATTTTTGCAAAGAAAATATATGGTTACTTGTTGTCTGTATCTTTGATTTTCGTCATAGAAACGTATAGTAATCTGTGGGATCAAGATTTAAACACTTATCATGTACCATTCCCCGTTGGAAACAAAATTACAACCCTTAGAAAATAAAGATATCTTGCAGTTAGAAGACGTCTGATATTCGAGCAGAAAACTCACCATACTTATGTGACGTAGCACTAGTCAGATCTAAGAGAGCATGATCTAAGAGAAGCATTCAGCCCATAAAATATATATATATTTTAAACTTTTAATCCATAACTGAGCTATTTTAAGAGCGCTACCAGATTGATCAGTTCGAGTGATGTGATGTCAGAGCCTCGATCAGAAGAAAGATAAAAAAATAACTTTCACAGCATGACGCGAAACTATTAATATATTTCATAAAGGTATCATGGGGCACGGGGAAACCTTCTCTTAGATCATCTTCTCTTGCTTCTGTGCGTTTACAAAGAAGAATAAAGAAGTTTTCTCAGGTAGCTGAACGAACCCAAAGTTTTTTTACAGCATTTTCTAGGCACGTTGATAGTCTTCAGTTTGGGTCGCGCGCAGTCCGTTGCCGTTGGTTTGTCTGGAATTTGTAGACAGTACTCCATGAGGTCCTCCATGTTTACGTGGCCTACGAATTCAGCTCCTGGACAGTTCGGCCATACTGGACAAATTGAACGTGTTAGAATAAATCGAGAAATATATAGTTTATTTCATTTTTTAAGGAATTTCGCGCGATTTCGCGCGCGAAAAGAAACCTTATGAAAACACCGCTGACCAAAATTAAATTGATCGCTTTGCAAGTTGTGAGAGCACGGTTTCTCGGTCCCAGGCCCTGTCTCTATCCCCCCTCCCCCTCTGGTGCAAGTGTTTTGAGATTTGGGTAAGATTTGAGATATGATATAAGCTCCTACGAGTCTCCTGCAGCTCAGTGGTAGAGCGTCCTACCAGTGTGCGGAAGGTCATACTAGGTTCTACTCCTGTTGGGGGAACGCGTAATTTTTTTCCAAGTAGCTTTTGTCACAGACTGAATAATATCTTTCTCATGTTTCTACTGCTATGTATTATTCTAGGCTAGATTCGACTAGTTAAATAATATTTATTGTGTAAAAGAAAAGCATGATATATACTAAGAAGTACGCGAGACAATCCGCGTTGTGTAACCAGGATTGAAGTTGCGTGACATTGCCGTACGTCATTCATACGTCAATTGGTTGCCAAGAAACAGGTGGTTGCCAAGCAAATCGTAAAGAAAAACATTTTCTTGGAGTTGTAAGTACGAGTCAGACATTCAATGCGCCGAGCTTGAAGTTTTCACACTTATTCCGCCAGGATGAGAATATTCCTGTGTTTGTTAGATTAGTAGAAGCAAGAAGAACCATATTATTGGAAGAATTAACATGGAAATTAACCTTGGAGAGCAAAATTTGTGGAAAACCAAAAACACGTGGAGAGCAGGTAAGCCCGATTAAAGTTTTTAGAGTTGAGCGTTTTCAAAAATATTTGGTTTTAATTCTTGTAAAGGCTGAAGAAATAATCTTCATTAGATTAGTACTCATCAAAAGGTAAAAAGTTAATGTTTTCTTGTGTCCAAAAGTGTGATTTTAAAGGCGGAAAGCGGCGAAAACTACGTCGGACTGAAACAATTTTCGCACATGTACAACTACACTTGAATTGGTTTTCTTTTCGGTTATAGCTTGGGTTTTTCTCTTTTCTTACAACGTTTTTGGCTGGTAAAACATATATAAATGATGATCGATTCAAAAGTTAGGCGATTTTTAAGATTTGCAGGGAATATAGAACTCTTTTGCCCAATATAAAATTCAGTAGAACTGCAAAATGTGGAATTCCTTGCATAGCACGAAAGGCGACATTGGAAAACTTTATGGAAAGTAGTTAATTATCAGAAGCTTATCACTAGGTAGCTTCTGTTGTTATATATAATATTTATTTATTTGTCCTAGCGTATCATACATTAGACGGTTCAATCCTACAGTTATGTATTTTTTCATTACATGCGCTACACAGTCAATCTTATCTTACCGTAAAAGCTCTATTTAGCCCCCCCCCCCCTATCTAATAAGTCCCCCCTTTGAAGTCAGATTTTGTAATAAGCCCCCCCTCTCTATTAAGCCCCCCCTACTTCCGTCAGGCTGATGTAAATGACTTTTCAACAATATTTGAATCGTTATCGTCGAGTTAGGGTATAAATGACGTTTCCTTTGTAAGACGGTCATACATAACCCATTTCTTGTTCTGTTTTAGTTAGTGGTGTAATAGTAAAGTTTGAAAAATTAATGTGAATTTTCTTGAAAATTTATGATTTGAAATAAGCCCCCCCTCTCTAATAAGCCCCCCCTTCTTGAAGCCTGAAATTAAATAAGCCCCGGGGCTTAAGTATTTTAGTTATTAAGCTTATATACACTTGTTTGTTTGAAACTTATTTGCATGATCGCTGACCTTAGTTTTCCCCCAAAAAATAAACGAGGGTTCCATGGCTTTAATAGTTATAGTTGAATAACGCTAAAATGAAGACGCCTCAGTAAAAAATAAAAGCCACTGTAGCTGTTTCGTACGGAAACCGGAAGCCGTACGGCAGTTTAGAATTTTCGTAGAATTTCTATGTAATTACTTATTCTTGCCGATCCAAAATATCATATTTTTGTGAGTACTGCTGATTTGATTCAGACTAATTTGCTCAGTCTCTACGCGAACGACTAATTTCCTTTCATCCGCTCTCGCGGCGATTCTCGTGCGCTCTCATCAAGAATTTGAACCTGCTCAAATTTTGCGTCGTGTTCAAATTTGACAATATACTTCGCTATAACTTCAGCATTTTATAATTAGGAAACTATAAACTGCAGATAGCACACTACTACACCAACTCCGCGGTATGGCCATTACCTTACGCATGTGCACAGCCAAATCACCCGGGCAGCATAATATTTTAGTATATCATGTTTTCATTATAAATATTTCTGTAGAGGTGTAAGACCATGTTTTGTGACAGAATCGTCTTAATAAAATAGCCTGAACTGGCCGTTAAAATGGATAGAAAGTTTTAATATTTTTAAATACTTATCCATTCTCACGGCCAGCCAATAAGCTTACTTTGAAGTTGACGGATAACTCCAAAAGCACATAGTTATCTCAAATTATTGTTTTCTGTTCGTAAATTGTCTTGCCTTAACATCTAAGGAATAATGCCTTTGTTCCAGTGGGAGCTAAGAGGGACAGACAGAACATCTATGGAAGGTGGTTGGGTGGGGGTAGGGGTAAGGGGTGTTCGCGCTGGGGGGGGGGGGGGGGGGGGAGACGCGACTAAAAGCTCGTTGCTATGGTCATGTGACTTACCACAGACTGGAACATGCAGTAGATACCAGAGTGCCAGGAGACAATTTGCTTTTCACTCTAGCCTCAATTTTTATTGACACCATTGACTTCTTTACCATTCAAGTTATTGTATAGCTACCATTTTCCAGAACGTTTTGTATTTCACTACTGAGTACTCATTTGAAGTTAATTGATGGTTTTGAAAATATTTACATATTGCAGTAAACAGTTTCAGATAAGCGTTAAGAATTTCTATCACCCACTAAATATAACCTCGAAGGGAATCCCATATAAAAGTGACGAGGGTGATTGTCGGAAATGTTGAAAGGAACCCTAATAGGTACCAAAATCTCGCTATATGGGTGTGACGCAAATTCATTCATTTTCACCTCTATGAGGTACAAATTCTAAAACAAAACTTGTCCCTAATAATGGTCATTGTAAATCGTAAAATGGTATCAAACTACGAATTTTAACCCCTAAAGGGTACGACGATCACCTCCGTCACTTTTATATGGAAGTCCCCCCCGGGAATCTAACGTAGAATCAAAGCAGAGATTTAAATCTCACCGAAACAAATGTAAAAAGCTTTCTTGTAAGTAAAATAATTTTTGGTGTTCAAGTGAAATAAAAGACCTCTTTTATTGCCCGATATTGCATATACTGGGAAATATTTATTAAGTGTATGAAATACAAAAAATCCGATCATTTTCACTAATGATATATGAGAGTTATTGTCTAAATAACCCCTGAACGTAATACATGTATCAAACTTGCAATGAATATCATGAGTTAATATCATGAGCTTATTAACCCTTTCACTCCCAAGAGCGCTAAGCTCAAAACTTGAGGGAAAAATTGTCAAACACAAACGGTACCACATGAAAGTATTGCTCAATAGCTTTCATTTGAATGGTCATACACTAGGGTTTTATCCACAGACTGAAAAGTTAGAGCCACCTTGTACAGCATAATGAACTGTACCACATGAAAGTACTACTCAATAGCTTCCATTTGAATGGTCACACACTATAGGGTTTCATCCAAGATTCAAAAGTTACAACCAAATTTATTGACTCAAGGTTTGACTCTGCGAGTGAAAGGGTTAAGTGAGAGTTTATGCTTACTTTTCATTATTGTTCCGACAAGTATGTATTGATTTTCTGCACTGCTTGACCAATCCGAAAACAACAAGTTTATCACCGTTTCCAGATTTCGTAAACCACTGATGTTTAATTCAGGATTTCTTCTGAAAAAAAAAATGGCTAACGCTCGAATCAACTGAAAACTGCTCTATCGCAAAACAAGTGAGAGGCAGAGACGTCAATCAAAGTTGCCTCATTACTTTCTGATTGGTCAAGAAGTTGGGAATACGTAATGTAATTGTCTGGTACGGTTTTAGTTATGGAATATACAATGATACGATTTCAATTCAACTAAGATGCTATGAAAAACAGGAACTATACTATTCCTTGTACACTACGACTCTACGTTAATAATCTATTTGCAATATATTTTGTTTAAAGTTTTACGATTCCATCTTGCTTCGGGGTTAACTCCCTTCTTATGCAAAATTTGCGCAAGATATCTTTCTGCGAAGTTGCAGTTATTAAAATCCGCATTATGGCCGATTTAGACGGTACAGCTTTTGCTTGCGACTGTTGCATGCAGCTTTTGTAGCTCACGCTGTGCACCAGTTATGCAAAAATCGTATACAACTCCCATCATTAAACATTTTCAGTGGCTACGATTTGTCGTGGGGTTTTAAAATCCTACGATATGTTTTGCGTCGTACACGATAATCGTTAGCAAGTTGTATAGGTTTGATTTACACGAAACAATTCGTGTCGTAGGCTTCTCGTAAGTATAACGCATGCGACAAAGTTGTACCGTCTAAATCGGCCCTTAGATTTCCAATCGAATACGGTTTTTCCTTATTTGCCTCACGAAACACGATGTCATCGTCAAACTTTATGTCTATTGCATTTAAAAGCTATCAATCTATATATGTTAGAAGTTTAAATTATTAAACTCATTTGTTTCAGTGTGTCAACATGAACATTTCTCAAAAAGAGACGTGTTTGCAAAAGCAGACAATTCTATAAGCAAATTGCTTTTCTATTAGCTAGTAATTAAACCAACACAAAAATAAACCTTCAAAATGTATTTACAATCGTAGCAAAAATAAATTATGCGCAAATTTTGTGCCCTGGAGAAAATCTTAATAAAATAAACAATTAGCGACGTTATGCAGAGAAAAGCGACGCACCGTTGCCACTCGTTAAAGCTTTTGATAAATTTTTGACGTATGAGAGCGAGTGTTTTATCCGATTTCCAAACGCAGAGAAAAGAGTTGAAAATACGACGCGAAGCATGGTATTTTTGACGAAATTCGAGGCCTTCGGAATCGGATGAAACACTGCTTCGATGTATTTGATGGTGTTTGGAAATCGGATGAAACACTGTCTCGAGTGTTTGATGTATCTTCTCAATCGAAACAAAACCTAAGGAGTAAATGGAGAAATAAAATCCAAAAATGTTTGTTATTTAAGACCTGATATCCAAACCGCCATCACGGTTATGATTTCTTTTGTTCTAACTTGATGAATTATTAATGAGTTTCCGAAACATGTCTTAATATTTCTGTTATAGTTTCCTTGCAATTCATGAATTTGTCTTCTTCGTCTTCGAGGCTTTACCTAGGTTTCAAAACGAGTCCTGGTGCAAAATCTTTCATTCGAATGGTTTCACACCTAGACTCGTTTTGAAACTGAGGCAAAAGGCAACCTGGAGTTCTGATTGGTCAAAAACAGGTAAACCAACATAAAGATGTCACTGGGAGATGTCAAAAATAAATCAAAAACTTTATCGAGACTCACAACGGCACGACGAGATTTACTGAAAGTACGGCTCGAAGGAGGGCGTCGTTTTAGTTGATCTTAGTCTAGGTTATATGAGGGAAATTTTGTTTATCCAGAAGCCGCGTCACAGCTTCACCTCGGGTGATATTATTTTCTGCGTAAAGCATTTAATTTCCCTTATTATAGTTCTTTTAAAGACTAGGCCATTATCGAAATACCGTTAGATATTTCCTCTATTAAACCCCTGGGGCATACTCCCCTCGATCGGATACTAGTCCATCGCAGGTATAAACCCTCCAGCATTCGCCGGTACCCATTTCGTCCATCTTTCCCAATAACACAACACAATGACCCCGGCTTGCGCTCGAACCCAGAACGCTCGATCCGGAGTCCAACGCGCTAACCATTAGGCCACCGCGTCTCCTACACTAAAGGAAATACCCTCGTAGCCAAGTTATAAATTTATATTTCGAAAATGGCCTGTTATCAAACGGTGATGAATCCCTCCCCGCTCCTTCGAGCCTTCGTGGCGGCAAAGCGAGTAGTGTTCTGTTTTGCGCAAGCGCAAAAGCGTTAAAATATAAACCGTCACATATCGTAACTACTTTTAAATTATCCCGTGGATAAAATGATCAATTTAAACTAAACTTGTATAATATGTTTGAATAAACTTCTAAATATTTCTCAGCGAAAATCTAAAACGATTCGTTCCGTGTAGTGGCTTATTTACAATGAATTTTCCTTGATATACTTCTCCGATGAGGTAATTCTCCCACTAAAGAACCTGACACATGGTACATCTGCTATATTGAAAGAAAAAAATATATATATCATTGAAAATATCGTGGTCGAAAACAACAAGAGAAAGCTGTTTCTTTACTTCCTCAAGCGGAAAAGAGTCACCCGCGAAGTTTGTGTTTGATTGATAGAAGGAGTGATTTTACGGTTGTCTAGCTTGTATGTCAACAATTGTTATTATAACGCCTACCTTGAGATCAATATAGGTACCCGTTGCGGACTACATTTGAGATTGGTGAGCCAGCATTATTTGGCAACCTTCATTCACATGATCCATAACTCTCTGTTTCAAATCACACACTTGTTGTTTGAGCGCGTTAGCAACCGCATTCAACTCAATATTCCTTTCCTTGAGCTCTTTGACTCGTGTTTCTAGCCTCGCCTCGCGTTCCAGTTTTCGTTTTCGACACTTCGAGGAGGCGACACGGTTCTCTGCTTTTTCCTTTCGCGTTTGACGATCTCTTGAACTTCCAGATCAATAGGTTGCAGAGCTCCATGGTCCGAAACCATCTGCGCTTGATTTTCCAGTTTATACCCAGACAAATCCGGTTTTTCCTGCTGCGCGAGCGCGCTATTATACGACGCAAAAGCCCGCAGAGTCGCCGAGTTTTCCATATTAAAATCATGATAAGCGGAATACGGAGCATTTTCTGGCGGGTACGAATATAACGTTGTATAACTCGGCGCACCTGAGGTAGTATAAGGATAAATTGTGCCCCCTTTAATAGGAGCAGCGAAAGCGCTTCCATTGCTTGCAAAGAAATCACTCGCATCCATCCGCGAAGAGTTTGAACAATACACAACCGCGTCCGCCGAAGTCCGTAACGTGGACGCGGGTACCGTCGCCAAAAACGATGCATTTCCCACGGTGGTATGCCCCAAAAACGGATCCGTAACCTCTGCGGCGTTATCGGCTAAATCTATCAGAGAAGATTCTCTTGTGATCTGTCGATCGTGAAGGTCTTGTAACGCATCAGTGAATCCACGTGAATACGGTTCGTGATCGTGATCCGTGTGAATCGGTGCGTGAACGTTCGTGTTAAAGAGCGAGCTAGGGTTCGGACCGGCCGTGACATTTCCCTGCAAAGACATGATCATTTTTTCCAGTTCGGGCGAACCCAGCTTAAGCAATCCCAGATCGGGCGAACGCAGCTCAGATGGCGTTGCATGCTTTTTTAAATCTCCAAGTTTTGGATCATCTGGTAAGGGTGGTAAATTCAAGTGCAAAGTCGACTTGTCGAAGAGATACGGCGAAATAATGTGCGACGACATCCCATCATCTTGATAAAAGGGAGTGTCGCTGCCTTCCTCCATCTAAACTACTCTACGGGCGCCTCGCTCTCCTTCTTGCCTCCTTCACATTGCGGATTTTGTCTAGTCGCCTAAAAAACTACCATGGATGGTTGATTTTTGTTTGGTTTCTTCCACCCTCGGGAGCCAGGGGTTAATTTCGGCGGGAGGCGGCGATTTACCAAACGCCTCGTTCCAGATCAGTGAGTAATGCCATGCCAGTTGATTGATGTCATTTTCAGGACTCGATCTGGTCTCTTCCGCGATTGTCATGGCGACAGCAGCTCGGCACCTCATTGGCTGGCGTTAATGTTTTGTGTTAAAGTCAATAGCACCACCTGATATTTGGTCATTATGTAATATGACCTAACGCACACGCGGGAACAACGCGGGTGGCAAACCGTTCGGTTCACGCGTTGCAAAAAAAGGCGCGAATCTTAAAGAGGTTCCTGTCAGCGTTTCGGAATAGATGCGCCCGTCACACGCTTCAGTGATCTCTCTACAAGTCTTGTTAGTAGCATGCCTCATAGACAGTAAACATGATAAATGTTGTATATTTTTCACGTCCGTCGAGATGCCCCTTGACATTTTGGCAAGTTTAACGTCAAGTTGAGTCTGACTAACGCGCCTGTAATTCGTTCTCCGCTCTGTATTATTTTCGAGCAATTTCAGTTGCCGAGGCCGAGAAATTTCAGTCTTGTATTGCCGTATTTTTACAGTATTTTTTACAGTGCGTCGAAAGAGTTCCTAAAACTTGGTGTTTTATTCTTTTTATGTACGCTTTGTATTATGTCTGTGCGATACAGTTTCAAAAGCTCTGGAAGTATCTAACGAGTATCTATAGTTAAAAACCCTTTGCGCACTTAAAAAAAAAAGTTTTCACTGGGAAAGCGAAACATAGATTTGTTAATGGCGTTTTCGTCTCTAGCCTAAGAAAGAACCAGGAAGCATTTTCAAAACGCGGTGAACATTGCGAGAATAATATTTTCACCGTATTTGTATTCGAATGAACGTTTAAATCTTTTCCTGTCTTTATTTCCGTAATACTTAAGCCCTGTACTTTCATATTATTTTAATTGACACCTCGAATAAGTCTACTTCGTGTGTCCGGCATAGGAATATCCGAATTTTTCCCGATCTTTGTACTCAGTTTGGATATTTCTCGTCCTAGACGATGGGACTGCTAAAAAACTGTTACATATTTCCCCTTTTCTGTTGTTTCAGTTGTATTAGCCTTGCATGTCAAATTGATAAATATAACTGTGATACAAACGACTTGTTGGAGAATTGTTTACTATGCAAACAAATTGAGTGTAATTTCAGCAAGCTATTTCTAGTTACAAAGTGAGATAAAAAGAGGTTATTCAGCGGAAAGTTTTATAATATGGTTGGATATTTTACTCGTCAGTTTTTTGTTCGGATTTTTTTAACAGTTTTTTTCCGTAGCGCGCGGGCAGGGGGATTTAGAAGAGTTAGAGGTCTGTAACTACTAGGTATAGACCTCTGGAAGAGTGTGATATGGTCTCATATTTGCACTCGTTTTGGTGCGTACTCGCACTCTAAAATGATGTTATCATCCACTAAGACATGCCTGAATTTCTCGCACTGAAAGCTACATTGTCATGTAGTACATTTTTACATTATCTGATTTCTAATCAGGTGACCCAAATTAAAATCTCTTTCAATAAAAGATTGACCTGAAGCCAATTTCACGGTTGGTGACTTGCTTTGTAAACAGCCCAAATTAACCTGTTGATGTTTTGGATTGTTTTCTTCAATATTGTTGTTTTGTGTCAGTAGTTCTAACTATGAGAAAGTCGAGAGTTAAAATTGTTCTTTCGTGGATCGTCTGAGCCTGCGCGGATTCGAATGTTGTTTCTTGGACAGCGGCGTTGCAATCTCGTACACATTTTAGTGTAAACATTTTTTTCAATTTTTAGACTGATTTTGGTTATCGCAACTAAGTTGTCGTATATTTTCGCGCTAACAGTAAGTTATTACAGTGCTATGTGCATATTTTTACATTATCAGATTCTTTATCAGGTGCACCAAATTATATTTCAGTAAGAGATTGACCTGAGGCTAATTTCACGGTTGGTGACTTGCTTTGTAAATAACCCAAATTAACTTGTTAATGTTTTGGATTGTGTTCTAAAACATCGATGTTTTCTTGTGAACTTATTTTGAGAAGCAAATCGAGAGTTGAAATTGTTCTATTGCTGTTTCTTGGTCCGTGGAATGAGTTCAAAGCCACCTCAGTTAAATTTTCGAAAATTTATTGATGTTATTGAACTTTATGGACTTGATATCGTAGGAAATCAGGTCAGTAGATAGAGCTTCTGTTTGGTTGATTCAGAATTTGGGTACGGTGAAAGGTGGTAGTGAACCTCTTGCTAAGATTTTTTTTAAACTTTGCAAAAGTTCTATCCTGACATGTTGATCATTATTTAATAATGGGGGTCACTGAGATTGTTTTTGAGTTACAAGCACTTAACAGAAGCTAAAATTAAAGGTGTATTTGACATGTTAAATACTGTTGCTATGGTAACCTGTTATATCAAGAAACAAGCTACATCAACTCCCAACTGAGGCAGACACCTCTATAAAGTGGACAACGGCGAGAGCTGATCCCGAGAGTGTCCACCTTATTACTATGTTATGCGTTTCGGAGAAGCTACAAAAATCGATTCTGTGGACTCCTGGCTCTCAGTTTTTTGGCGAGAAAAGGACTATTATAAAAGACAATCACCAAGAAAGGAGAAAGAAGAGAATATTAGCTGCTTCGCTTTGTTTCGGAACGAAAGAATGTGTACCCGTCAATACGTTAATTTGGTGGTACATCGAAATATTGGCTGACTTATATACTGTCTCCAAGAAAATGCCTTAAAGAACCCAAGCCAATTCTCAGGTATGTTTTAGATTAATGTTTAAATGTGCGATTAAGCGAGGATTGAGAAAATTTGGAGTTATACCACATGATGAATTATGCCATAGAAAATGTCTACCTAATAAGAATTTCTGTTATCGTGAATACCTCTCCCTTATTTTTGAATTGTTTCATTATGGTACATTTTGTTACAGCCATAAAAATTGTCATCCAGTGGATGAAAAATAGTTTTTCTGTCGTTAGAAAGTGTCCAAAGCTCTCTGTATAGTTTGGTTTGCGAACGCGAGGATAGTTTATTGTAGCGAATTTCAGGGTTCAACTTTGAGCATTTTGAGTGTCGGAAAACGAAAACCGATTTTCTTATTTTTCTTAAAAGAAAACGGCTTCTGGCGGAAACAAACTACATCAGGTATCTTTCCTACCTAATGGGTATTTATGAGCAAAAA